ACAAATAATTATATAGATTTAAACTGTCTACAAACTAGTTATTTCTTTTAAATATTCTTATTTTAATATCTAGAAGAACAAACTCTATTCATTATATCAGTCAATTGTAATAAAATATTGTTGATCGATTGATGACTATGTATGCATAAGTAAATTTTATGTGAAAAAAACAACGACCAATGATCATTTGTTGTTTATGTGTTGTTATCTGATAACTGAACTCTTTCGTCTATTTTTCCCCAATTACACTCATAAAAACTTGATTTAAGTGAGAATTTTTTGAGGAAAAAGAGTGAAAAGCATCTGTGAAACCATCTGTTGACTGAAAAAATTTTATTCTCATGAAATTCTATTTAGTTTTTATTACTCTTTTGATCAATAAGAAATGAAAGTAAATTTCAATTGTCATTTGGGATAACTGTTATCCTAAGAACTGTTTGTGAAAAAACAATTTAAATATGGGTTTTTAAGAAGTGACAGATAATTACCATTTAAACATTAAAAACAAAAAGTTCAGCGAAGAGATCTCTTTTCAACGAATTTATTATCAAGCTGTACAATCGTATATATATATGATAATTTTTTTGTTAAAGTACTAATTCCGTGTGGAAATGTGAACACAAATAACCAGGATAATGTAATAGAAAGATCATATTACCAGATTAAGTAATACGAATAATAACATTAGATATAGTGAATGTAGTTTTTTTTGTTACAATAGTTAAAGGTCATAAAGCTCATAGAGGTGTAAAAATAAATAAGGTGACATGATGAGTATTTGTGAATAAAATAATGGGAATATAAGACATAGTAAAGTGGTATGCGGTACTACTAATAATACCAATGATAATAATAAAATAATAATATTAATTAAGGTCAAGGTAATGAGATCGATAAGACGTACTTCTTTTGTACGCATAGTTCTGGTTTGAGCTCATGGTTGTTAAGAGCTTCGGCTGTTTTTAGGAGTTGGATACGAAGAAATCTAGGTAGATTTGAACGAATCATATAAACAAACTTAAAATCAAACTGTGGATCCGTAGAATGATTACAGTCGATTGAGTGTTCAAGTATAGAACTCCTAACTGATTTCCTTTCATCCTTGTACAACCAAAATGAGACATTTTCCCGTATCCGAGTTGAAAGCTAGCGCTGGCTACGGCCAATGTACCTTGCTCCTTAAGAGCAGGTGAACTCGTAGATGCACATAGAGGCGACCAGATGCGGAAGCTTATCTTTTATGGATACAGAAAATAAGTTTTTACTAGTGAAGGTTATTCGCAGTTTTGCCGCATTAAATGTTCTTTTAATCGCTGTTGTTAGGCGATTTTCGATTACGTCAGATGTTCTAGACTTATATAGGGGTTTTTGGGGACGGAACAACTAGATTTCCTGTCGCAACTACTTCTAATCATATTCTTCTCTATGGAATGGTCTGGGTAGCCATTTTTCATTGAGGTTTTCATGAGGAATGCGAGTTCTTCCTCAATGCATTCTGTACTGCATATCCGATGTATTCGATGACAAGAAGTAACAGTTACTGAATCTTGGTAATTTAATTATAAGAAAATATACTTGGACTACGTATGATCAATGAAATTTTCTATTTGTCATGTATCCTGATTTGGTTGTTCTCTATGTGATATTTTATTAGTAGAAATTTGACGAAAGACTTTCTTTGAACACCAAAAGTTGGGAAACCTAATAACCTGATTACCGGACCACAAATCATGAGTGATCTGTACAAAGATCATATCGGGTGCTTGGCAGTTACCCACCCACACATTAGATGGTAGTTGCGTAATATCATGGATCGACTGACGTTGGACAAGTAAACCAGCTGATGTTGGATCAATGGTCTAGTGATTAAGCACTCATTACCCGATTTCAAGGCCCTAGATCCAAGCCCTCTCGGGGTTTATCTATGGACAGATTCATCGAAAGAACTTGTTAACCACTAAAACGTAATTATGCTAACCGGCTAGTTTGGTAACCCCAATGGTTGTGACGCTTCGTGAAGCAACATTGAAACTCATCAGTTCCGTACATGTTCTAGATACATCATTTTGACGAGTTCCAACAATCTGGAAACTTAAGCGCAGTGTTTTCTGCACATTACTTTCAACCACTTAATATGGTTGGGCACTGTCGTGTATTCCATGACTTCTGACGACTGTTCAACTAGTATTGAAAGTTGATTTTGAAGTACTGCTTATTTTTGCTAGGACATTTAAAAAATGTAAAACGATATTCAACTTTAACCGGAAGACGTTGCCAAATAATTTAATAAAGTACAGCATTATCATTAGTTCATAGAGAAGATCATAGTTATAGGTTATAGGTTTCATGTTGTCTGTTGTTTTTAGATAATCGAATTCTATCGATAATGATTTTCCCAGTTTAGCTAACCCAGTACATGAGCCGATTTGTCAGTAAACAATAATTTTGTATTTAATGACACGCAATAAGACACCTTTTTTCTTGAGTTCGAAGATCCGCACTAAATACCACAAAAAAGTAACAAAATTCTAAAATAGCTTATGATGCTCATAAATGTGTGAAATAATTCAGAGCTTACAAATATCTGTCTATCTATCCATATATCTATCTGTCCGTTTATCTACCAAAGAGCTTTAGAATAAATAAATCGTCATAGAGACTTTTCTTAGAACCATGTGGTTGGCTTTAAAAAAAGTTAGTCAACTTTGTCAAACTATAGTTAAATCAACTGATCTTTAAAAAATAAGTAAATATCTTCGTACGTACTTTTTTGACAACATACATTCTAGAGTCATTTTTAATTAAAATTTAGACTATCATTTTCATTATGATGACTTTTGGCGATTCCACAATTTTTCTAAAATGATAAGTTATAATTAAACTACGAATTTAAACTGAGTAGGAGTGACTCGACTAGATATATCTGATATTTGAATACCTGAACGAAATTATTGTCAAACGGCAATAATGCTCATATTAGGTTGTTTAACATACTTGACAAGAAGCTCGTGATATAAATTTCGTATTAATAGACAACTGAATAAAAAGTATGACTACAATTTTGAGAAAACTAATGCTGACAGTGGGATCCACAAACATTTCTTGCCATGAAACACCAACTATCACGAAACCTAGGTTCGGGGTTTCTTGATGACTACCGCCAATCACCTAACTTTTCACCATAGTGACGTCAAGTTACGCGAACAAGTGGCCAGATTGAAATTTCATCGGTGAGATTAGATAAATATCGAAAAAACCACTTAAAAGTGTTAGTAATCACTATATAATGTTTAATTAGTCTTAAACAAGCTTTGTGTCGGATCACGTCTAGTAAAATCTAATGGTTTGCATGAATTCGATACTCGAGGTTTATATCAACTAAATAATCCTTAGAAGCAATCAGTTTTACAAATTCGTTGTATATATAATCAAACATTTAAATATAGTTAGCTTGTCACATCTATCCAGGTTAGTTTAATGACAGATGCTACAAATTTATATGTAGCATTGATTATACTACTGCCGGTTAAATTTCATTACATTTTAGGTACGTTCGTGCATAAACCTAGTACAATCAAAAGTTTCTAACACCTAAAGAGATGAATTGATGAAATAAACTACTATTTTGAGATAAAATATCATAAGATTAAAGATTTGTTGATGCTCGTTGTTGAACCATATGTGAATAAATTAACTGACATTGAATAAACAACTAGAAATAATTGGGGGAATCAACTTAAAAAAAACAGTTTTTATGATTTGTTATTACTAACTTGGGTACCACTTCTTAATACACTATGATAACTTGGTAAAATAATGACCCATGATTAATTTCATGCTCTTCTTCTTACTTCCCCATTTCTCCTTCTCTTCTATTGGTTTACTGAATCATGAAGACATACACATCTGACAGGAAGCGCGGAATGAAATGGACTGCTTGGATGCGACTAGACGATTTAGACTTCGCAGATGACCTGACCCTTCTATCCCATATACATAAACAAATGCAGGCCAAGATAGTCAGTGTAGCAGCATCTGCATCAGTGGGCCTTAACATACACAAGAGATAAAGCAAGATCCTCAAATACAACACAGGGAACACCGACCGAATCACAGTTGATGGAGAAACTCTGTAAGAGGTGGAAATTTACGTGTACCTGAACAGCATTATCGATGAACGACGAGGATCTGATGCAGGTGTAAGTAATTAAGTAAATCAACCAATAAAAAATTAAATAAGTCTTCGAAATTTTTACGTAACTGTACTAGAAGCCAGAATAGATGCTGATATTATGTTTTCCAATCACCACCCCTCTTTACTTCTAAGAAAGAAGTAGAAAGTAGCTCAAAATACTAATTCTTTTTTGAATGGAAAATTATCAAATTTACAACTACGTTTAGCATCTCCAAAAACGTCTTCAGCTATAATACCGCCTATAATCCTACAAATCCTCCTATTATCTGTATTTAATATGATCTTTCGACGTCCTAGGTTAGAGTCCTTGAAGAAGTTGAGAATTCAGTGTTGAAAGTGTTCAGAGTATAAAACTTGTTCATATTCATTTTGTGAATGGTTTGGCCTGTTGCACAGGTATTTGAATTGTAATACTACAATAATGTAATACATGTGTTCGGTTATAATTAACTTGCAAATAGTTTAGTTAGGAGACAATAGTTTAATTAATTAACGCCAAAAAATAAATAACAATAGAGCTGAATAAACTGAATTCTATTTACAAGATCCAGGTGACGCTTATCTACTATTAATATTCATTTAACTTGTAAATACCCGCAAAAGTATTCTATAAATTCATTTAGTTTATTTTAGAGTTCGTTTTAATTTTGGCACCATTCCCTTGACATTGAATCGATTTATATGAAGGTCTTTTAAGGGCATGTACAATGTCCAATAAAAATGCTCCAATCAATTCTGTTTCTGAACAGTTTTCCCATACTATAAGTAAAACCATTTATTGATTTATTTAAACAAATCATTTAAAATGACAGTAGAATGGCGTAAGAATTCTTCGTGCCCCAGTATAAACTATGTAAAGTACTCAGTAGGTGAATTAACAGTTATGAATAGTTCAATGTCTAATTTCGTAAGGCTTAGTTTATATGACGATATTGAAAATTATCTACCTATACCACATCACCTTGATGAACGAACTAATTTCAGTGAAAGATATCCAAAGCAACGTGTTGGAATCGTTACAAAAGGATATTCTGAGAGCTTAAACAAGTGAGTTGATTAATTGTAGCAATTTATTTTTCAAAAATATAAAGATTTCGCCACCAACTTATATTAGATGAAGAAACACTGAAAAATGTCTCACTGAATAGTTTTTCCACCTTTGTTTAGGATTACTTTTCAGTTTACGCCCAAGACACTATACAAGATTGACCAAGAAGCCTTCACAGCTCTCGATCTTAAAACTAGAGTCAGTATCTTAAACTCTACGTCTCTTGATTTAATCGACACACAATATTTGTGACCTGGTTTCAAAACTATATGTGATGTCTGTCTTACTCTCAATATGGATGAACTCCAATAATTAATATGTATTTTCAAATTATAATATGAACTATGTGACCTAATCACAAAACAACTTTCAAGTTTCTGTCCTCGACTAATATGTGGGAGACGTGCAACTGTTTGTACATCATCAGATTATATATTTATTCATTAAGTCTTCCTTACTTAAACTAAGTCAATGATAATAAACTAATGGTTCAATGTAAGATGCATTTATTTATCTGAAACATTCGGATAGTATTTTACATCGCATTGTTGAGCCATCAGTATAATTTTCATCAATATTTGCCATGTCATATGAATTGGGCTCACATTGAAGTATTTAGTACTTCTTTTGAATATAAGACAGTATATTACTCAGTTGTAGTTAATTTAGAGTAAACTACTAAGGTAAATTGTATGACAATCTTTTAAGTTGTGTAGAGTCTTCTTCTTTTGTTCAACAACAACCACAACTGCTACTCACACTACCACAAACATAAAAGCTCAATTTTTAACACTATACAGTTTACAGAGGTGGATACATTTGTTTTCTTTAGTTACCTGACTTAAAAACAAATTTCTTTACAGAAATTGTCCTTTATTGCCAAAGAGTAGCTGACTAATGGTATGGGGCATTAAATAGAGTGATATTACGTTCCTTAAGGTTCTACAATATTTTTGAAATAGGTAAAAAGAAGTACAGTGACCTACTAATCATTATCATCCACTCACTAAATGATTTATATGCTTAAATAAATATAGAACAACATATATAAGCGAACAATATTGTTTTCGATTAGATCCTCATCAGGCTTTACTCTAATATACAGTAATATTTATATGCATATACGAAATTATTAAACCAATCAAGGTAGTTTATAAGTCATTGACCTATTTCAGATTATGTAACATTGATTTGAACCTTTATTATTCTTGCTTATCAAAAACTAATGCACCTGTTGTCACACCATCAATTTGTACTTTTCACATTTTACTTATTATGTAATCTTTTCCATTGTTATCATTGACTTATAAACTACCTTGATTGGTTTAATAATTTCGTATATGCATATAAATATTACTGTATATTAGAGTAAAGCCTGATGAGGATCTAATCGAAAACAATACTGTTCGCTTATATATGTTGTTCTAAATTTATAATATGGGAATATTTCAAATTTTGAAGTCACGTGGAGATCCGATTGCATTTAAGGTACTCAATGAGTTCCTAAAGTTTAATGCTCGTCTCACTGAAGCGAAAACATCGTTGGAATTTATTAATGATTGTATACGGAATGATAGATATCCTAAAATATATTGGAAATGTTTACGCCGGAACAAAGTTTATCCGAATGCCAGAACCCTTAAACGGCATGCACTTAACCAAACGGATTCATTAAAATTACACATAAACAATCTAGAAAGAAATCTTTCACAAAGAGAATATATGCTCGATAACATACCACCGGAAATAAAATCACAATTTATGGATTATAATAACATGGTGGCAAAAAGTAGATCAGAAAAACTGGGAACAAAACTAATTCAGTCACTGGAACCTCATAAACCTGAAAGAAAATTTCCTATGGACCCTGAGCGGTACGTTCATAATTTCTCTAGTGTTACGTTAGACGCATTGCAAGTAGAGGCATTGTCACTCGGCCCTAGGTTTTGCGACTATAGTAATAAAATAAACCAACTAGATACAGATGTACAGTTTGAAAATTTATTTACACAAACAACAGATTTGGTGCCTACTTCTCCTGATGAATTAACCAGGTTTAAGACCACGTTGGTAGACATCTGCCAACAATACAAAAATAGTAAATGTACGGTGAAAACTCCACTTACCAAACAGCACCGAGATGCTTTACATGTACTTAGAAACGACAATACTCTAATCATAAGCAAGCCGGACAAAGGAGGGGGGCTAGTTCTTATGAACAAAGCTGATTACATTCATAAAATGAACGTGATTTTGAATGATCCGACAAAATTTCAGAAACTCAACGACGTTAAGGACTTAAATATGAAGGCAGAAAAATTGCTGACTATCTCACTGAAGGAATTAAAAAATAAAGGTATTCTTACTCCTGACTTACATGACTCACTCAAGCCTACTGGATCGAACACACCGCGACTATATGGTTTACCTAAAGTTCACAAGACAGGTCTTCCTCTTCGCCCAGTTTTAGATATGTATAATTCACCTTATCATAAAACTGCAAAGTGGCTAGTTCGTATCCTAAACCCCTTACACAAACTAGTCGTCAATAGAAGCGTGAAAGACGTCTTCGATTTCATATCTAAAGTGGAACATATAAATTTAAATGGGAAACGAATGATATCTTTAGATGTTGCTTCCCTGTTCACCAATGTACCGTTAACAGAGACTATCGATTTTGTGTGCCAACAACTGCAGGAAAAACAAATCAATATTGGAATTCCTGGGTTAGTCTTAAAGAATTACTTTTAAAATGCACAATGAATGTCCATTTTGTCTTTAATAACACATATTATAGACAAATTGATGGTATAGCGATGGGTTCGCCACTAGGTCCCATCCTTGCGGATTTTTTTCTGGCGAAACTAGAAAACGGACCTCTCAAGGAGGTTATCAATAAACTGGATTTCTACTGTCGTTACGTTGATGATACCTTCATCATTGCCGATCAGAACATTAGAAAAGAACAACTACTGGAACTATTTAATAACAAACATCCTGCTATTAAATTTACATGTGAGGAGGAAATAGATAACAAACTAAATTTTCTGGACGTTTTGTTAAGTAGAAAAGAAAATGGTTCTATCAGCAGGGGTGTGTATAGAAAAAGTTCTTCGCCAAGCCAATACACACATTTTTTAAGCTTTGTGCCTCTTCATTATAAGAGAAACTTAGTCAAATGTCTTGCAAATAGAGCTCTTAAGATATGCTCAGTCGACACTATTGATAGAGAATTACAACACATTCATAATATTTTGATTGAATTGGGATATCCACTGGGTTTCCTGAAGAAACACTTGCGCGTAAAAAACAGGAAAATAGTGACCCTGACGGCTAATAAGAAACCGCTTTTCTTGAAACTGCAATTCAATGGTGATTTGGCTAGCGATGTATTACGGGATAGATTGACTAGAGCAGTAAAGAGAACGTTTAATGCTGCCAACCTCTGCCTATCGTATTCGACCCGATCGATGGTGATTCCGCAATTGAAGGATAAGTTACCTGGTTATGCCACTTCTATGTGTATCTACGAATTCAGCTGCTCCTGTGGAGAAAGCTATATTGGGCGCACTACCAGGCAACTGAACCAACGAGTTAGTGAACACCTCCCTTCGTGGTTAGGAAAAGGTTACGTCAAAACAATACGCAGCTCGGTTCTATCACACTTGATCGATAGCGGTCATGTAGTGGACAGAAACAAGTCGTTCAAAGTTATTTACCGGATTCCCACTAGTTTTCCTTATGGTGTTCGATCTCGTCTCTTACACATAGCAGAAGCTATAGGAATCCGAGCCAACAAGCCAAGTCTTTGTGTTCAGAAGAAATTTGTAACTCCCTTATCTCTCCCTTGGCCTTAAGTAATAAATGAATTTATTTATTTATTTATTCCTTTTCTAACTTTCTCTTCGTTTATTATTTTTCTTCACACCCTCCTACCACTTTATTTTCTCTCAACTATACGTTTCATGGTCCAATTATCTGAACATTTCTTATTACGTCATCTTATAATTTTATAATTGTTATCTCAGTTTCTATATTTTTCTAATCATTGACCTATTTCAGATTATGTAACATTGATTTGAACCTTTATTATTATTGCTTATCAAAAACTAATGCACCTGTTGTCACACCATCAATTTGTACTTTTCACATTTTACTTATTATGTAATCTTTTCCATTGTTATCATTGACTTATAAACTACCTTGATTGGTTTAATAATTTCGTATATGCATATAAATATTACTGTATATTAGAGTAAAGCCTGATGAGGATCTAATCGAAAACAATATTGTTCGCTTATATATGTTGTTCTAAATTTATAATATGGGAATATTTCAAATTTTAAATAAATATACTTAAATATTTGGCTTCTGGTTAAACTACTTGACTATTTAGGATTTTCTATGCTCCGAATGATTACTGCCAGATTAACTCGACTAGCGCAGCACTTAATCGATAGCCATTGAGTTACACTTTCAAATCTCAGTTTCAGACAGTCGGGCATCCCCATTAGCCTTTAAGCAAACTCGTATGGTACTAAACAGGCTACATAAATTTGCATATCTTCACTGAAACGCATGTATGCTTAGATACATATACTATCAAGTTATGAGTTTATGAGAAAATGTTTTTGTAAAATGTTTTTTTACTGTTTATATAAAATAAGTATCGTCAATGGGAAATGATAATATCTAGACATTGACTTGTACTAAAATCGTTAGCCATCGTAAACCGAGTTACTGTTCCAAAATTAATGTGCAAGGCAAAGTAGTTGAGGCTTCCTCGTTTGATTTTATATACAATTTTGTGTACACTTTCATGAATTGTCTTATTTACTTACTTACTTACTCCTGTTACTCCTGATGGAGCATAGGCCACCGACCAGCATTCTCCAACCCACTCTGTCCTGGGCCTTCTTTTCTAGTTCCATCCAATTCTTGTTCATTTTTCTCATTTCTATTTCCATTTCCCGGCGTAATGTGTTCTTTGGTCTTCCAC